GCTTAAGCACTCTTGTTACTTTGGGATTTAAGAGGAAGAAAGGATGGGGGCGGGGGGTGGGGCACGGGCTACCAAACTAATGGAAGAGAAAAGTTAGGAAAGAAGGAAGGTATTTTCCTGTTAGAGCTCAGATCCATCCCTGCCCTTTTCTTGCTTCATTTTACTACAGAAGAATGACTCCTGCAGGTATATTCCCCAGGATTCTTTCTCCTGACATCCAGTTTACTTGGTCACTGGTAGACTGCAAGGCAAAAGGAAGAAAGAATCCAGAATATTTTACCCCCTTTCTAAACCAGATGTTTACAGGGATTATTTCAAGCTGTATCTACATTAGCTTCATGATTTCAAATTCCTGGTAGACTCTGATCACCATAATTCTACCATAATTCTGCCAGGGACCCCACCTCCGCACCTGCCCAGTTCTGAAGAATTCTGGATCTCTCCAGCCAAAGGTGTGGCAATGGCTTCCTGCTTTTGCTACACTCTTGTTTGCCTAACCACCTCCCATTTCATTTCTGAACTCTTCCATCATCTGTACAACCAGTAGCCTCCAATAAATAATCCCTTCTCTCTGAAAGTCTAAAATGAATTTTGTATCCATAACTGGACCATGACTGTTACAGAAAGGAAGGTTGGAAGGGACAGAATGAGTCAGTTATTTTCTTTTCTAGGTAACTATGGTTACTGTCATGATGGGTATAGAAGGAGACAGGGGGAACAGAAAAAGAAAAGGAGCAAGTATTTATTGAGCACTGTTGGTGTGTAAGTGTTCTATCACCATTTAACTTTTGCATGTGAGGAAACTGAAACATAGAGAGGTTAGGTGTTTACCAAGATCACATTGCTAAGACAAGGTTGAACAAGAATTTGAACTTAGAACCGATTCCAAACTTTCTCCAAACATACACTTTAAGTGTACTTACTGGAGTACACTTCCTCCCTAGAAAGCATTAAGGTTGTATTCAATAGCAGTTCTTGATGGGGGAGGAGTGTTGTTGTTTTTTTTTTTTTTTTTACTACATTTTTACTGCTTTTATAAAGCATAAGTGTCAAATAACTCAGAATCTGAGTTACTGCCATGGTCGTACCACACTTACCTGAAGTTCGCTATTACTTGGCACAAAAACTGAAGTTTTACATCTTTCGTGATTGCCTTATATCTCAGCCTATAGATTGCCAGGATTTAGGGTGGCTAACTGACAAACACTCTTGAGGACTGAAGGGGTTCATCATGTCCATCTGTTTTGGGAGGAGTTGTTTTTATGGAATCCAGGGCCCTTGATTTTGAGGAGAATTTATTGGGGAATTTTTTATCCTCCTTCCTTCACTGCAAAGGTTTATCAACAGTTACATTTTACATAGATGTTCTCAGTATTTTCAAAAAAAAATGCTGCTGCCTAGAAAGGATGACAAGGACTCATTTTTGTGTGCTCTCATCCAAAGCCTGTTTACTCCCAACTTTTGCTCACTCTTGAGGTATAGATGTGTATATCCAACTGCTTTCTGGATCATTTTGAACATCCTCATACAAGGGTGATTTAGCATGTCCTAAACTCACTGGATTTCCCTAAATAACAGGCTCTTCCTTCTAGATTCCTGATGTATTTCAGTTAATGACCCCAGAGTACACTGCCTGCCTGCCACTGAATGCCCCAGCCAGTCATCCTAAAGACCCACATTCTTCCTCAAGCTCCACATTCAATAAAGTGCCAAATCCTATTGAAATCAACTTTCTAAGTCCCTCCCAAATCTACTGTCATTTATTCATTCAATATTGGGTTGCCATATGCCACAGTAGGGGGATACTAAAATGAACTAGATGAGTCAAAGGAGATACTGTGTGACTCTTTATATGCTCCTTTCCATAACGTCCTTTCTCACCTGGATCAGAACAGTAATATCTTTATTGTTTGGGTCATATTTCTCTTCTTTCCCACCCATCTTGCTTATGCCCCTAGAGTGAATTTTATTAAACTGAAATACTAAATCACTTGGGCTTCCCTGGTGGTGTCAATGGTAAATAACCCAGCTGTCAACACAGAGACATAAGAGATGGGTTTGATCCCTGGGTCAGGAAGACCTCCTGGAGGATAGCATGGCAACTCACTCCAGTACTCTTGCCTGGAGAATCCCATGGACAGAGGAGCCTGGCAGGTTACAGTCCATAAGGTTTCACAGAGTTGGACATGACTGAAGTGACTTAGACATGCATGCACTAGGTCCCTCGCTTCCTTAAAGTCTTAGAGTAACTACACACAGCTTTTGATGCAGCCTAAATGCCTTGTGATGGCACCTGGGGTACATCAGGTCTGTTTCTTCCAGCCTTTATCTATGATACTTACCCATTTCTCCTATGAACTCTTTCACTCTTGGACATCTATACATGTTAACCCCACTGCTTATAATACCCTTCCCCATCTCATACCTTTATATAACCCTCATTCATCTTTCAAAACCCAATAAAAAAGAATTTCCTTCTCTGAAATTTATTCTGAGTCCACCCTACGCCTATGGCTGATGCCCCATGATTCCTGTTCTTGGTTCCCACGACACCCAGTGCATACTTTTATCATAATATCACAGCACTTATCAGACTGCCAGGTAAATGCACTGTCTCCTCCACTCTGCTGTGACTTCCTCAAGGGCAGGGCGAGGCTTGGGCTCACTCGGCATCTCCAATGCCAGGCCGAGGATTTGGCAGACAGTTGATCCTCAGTAGCAGAGTGGTAAAGACCCCACCCGCCAGTGCAGGAGATGAGAGAGATGTGGGTTCGATCCCTAGTCAGCAAGATCCCCCTAGAGTAGGAAATGACAACTCACTCCAGTATTCTTGCCTGGAAAAGTCCAAGGACAGAGGAGCCTGGCAGGTTACATTTCATGGGGTCGCGAAGAGTCAGACATGGCTGAGTGACTGAACATGCACAGATGCTCAGTACAAACAAGAATGGATAAGTACACAATTTTGAAATGGTGAAGTAATACACAATCTAACTCTATAAAATTCAAAACAAAAGTACATTTTTTACTGTTTGACACTATTTTTTTATATCTCTGCTCACAGATAATAATAGATTCTACTTTTCCACACCTAGTTATTAGTGTAATTATCCAGTTTTCTTCAGCTATTACTATTTTCTTCAGCTATTACCATGTAACAAAGACTGAAGTTGTACACCTGGTCGGCGAACCCCAGTCAGCAGGAGTTAATCTAGTAACTGCGAAATATCCACAAACAGTTCTCTAGATTTGACGTTTATCAATGAAGCATGTAAGGTGCAGTTTGTAATAATTTTAGAAAAATTTCAGAAAATTACAACCATCATCTCTGCCCTACTGTGTAAAGGAGCCCTGTGCAAAGAGAGCTTAATACATGAGAGAGTGCTGCTTTTCTGAGGACAGTATCTTCCTTATAGTAGGATTACAAGTGAACAAAAAAAGTATTTACAATTTATACAGGTCACTGTAAGTTCAGAGTAAACAGGACGAGCAGCTTCGTACACCTGTCAAAGAAGAGATCCCACTGAAAAAGAAAACCATCTCAGATTTACCTCTTGGATAATTTGATAGTTTAAAGATGGGCTTAAAACCATAGCTCAGTACTCATACCCTTCTTCAACCTCCATGCACCAGAAGGTAAATAAAATGACTTCTTTACAAAGTACTTCTCACTTCCGACGGCAATGGAAGTGTTTAGGATGGTTTGAACTGAGCTATACATTTAGGTGGTGCAAGTATTAAAGAGTTTTGCCCATAGTAAGATAAAGTTCTGGCACTTCCTGGTGGCCCAGTGGTTAAGAATACGCCTTGCAATGCAAGGGACACAGATTTGATCCCTGATTGGGGAACTAAGATCCCACGTGCCACACAGCAACTAAACCTGTATGCCCCAACTATTGAGCTCATGCCACAGCTAAAGAGTCTGTGTGCCACGATGAAAGATCCCTCATGACACAAGGATCCTGCATGCTGCAGCTAAGACCAGACACAGCCAAATAAATAGTTTTTTTTAAAAAAAGATACTTCCTTCACCTATTGACCCTTAATAACAGAGGTCTGTTTATACAAGATTACTCTAGCCTTCAACCCCAAGCTAAACAAGTCCTGGGGAAATACTTGAGAGAAATTGCTTTTGCATCGCAGGAGGCCTTGATTTTGGTTGTGATCTAAGAGCGATAGTTTTGTTATACTCTTCTCAAGCCAGACCTACTCAGAGAGTATATGACTTCACTTCAGGTATTAAATAAAGATTCCTAGAAACTATTATTGGAATAATTAAAGTTCTAACTTTCTAGCCTGTTTCTACACTCAATGTCACGCCAAAGGGTGCCAAGAATCCATGATTCTTGGCTGTGCTGGTGATGCAGTCCTGATGTCATACCAAAGACAGGAGACTACTGTTTCTGCTTTTTCATACTCTTTATTGCCAACAGTTTAAAATGGTCAACATAAAAAAAAATTGATAATAAATACTGCTCTTTGGGCTGTAATAAATAAAAAGTTTATTAACAAGGAATGCACTTTTCCAGCCACAAGTGTCTTCAAAAATTAACAAAACAAAAAAAATATATATATGGCCATAGTTCACAGTTAAGCAGCCAAAAGCTGCTCCAATTATAGCCTTTAAACAACATGGGAGCGTCCTCCCTTTCCCTCCCCTTCAGGAAGTATATTCACAGCTCCAAGTCCTCTGTCCAAAGCACTCTCCACAGAGAGAAGTTAAGAGTCAATGCACCTTTCTGCAAAATTGTCTGAAAAGCCTTTAGAAACAGGTACGTCAAGGAAAACTGCATTCGGGTTCATTCTCAGCGTGTCCGTCCAAAGTTCAGGACTGTGTACCTCAGCCTGGTCCGGGTTCCATCAGGTCCAGTGGGCCACAGAGGAATTGTTTTCGTACCACCACCTGTCCATCTTCTTCAACATGCTGTAGATCATTCTATTGACTTCCATGTAGATCTCACAGTGGAAAAGAGGAGTCCCATAGGGTCCATTCAAGAAATCTCTTAGTTACACCTCTGTAAAAGCATGTTCAGAGCATATTCCATTCGATTTTTTAATTCTAATGAACAGCCAGACATCAGCAGAGTTGTCAGTCTAAAAGTTGTAGATATCCTGTCCTCATTGATGTAGGTGAGAAGGTATTCTTCATTTTGACTACAGATGATTATTTTTGTATGATCATGGTAGAAATTCACCTTTAAAAAGTAGACATAGATATTAGGCATCTCCAAATAGTCAAAATAAGAAGAGTTTTCTCAATAATTGAACTGGCTATGTAAAAATCATTTCTTAGGACCTAAACATGTGCTTTCTTAAAGGGTTCATTTACCTGAAAGGTGCCATCATTGAAGAGCATCATTAAGGCCTTATCAGATTTTAGCCACTGAAGGAGGTAGAGCCGAGGTCTGCGAACATCAGTAACACTAGGCAGATCTCCACCCTGAGAGAGATTGGGAGAGTTAGTGCCTCGGAAGACTTCACAATGTGTGCACTCAATTGTTCTAAGCAAATGCCTCTCAACCTTAAGCAAGGGCCAGAATGGCCTGGAGGTTCCTGCCCCACCACCCAGAGACCCTGAGGCATAGACTGAGGATGGAACACGAGATGCTGTACTTCTAAAAGCACTGAGACTATAGAGATGCTACTGCTCCACGGACCACGCTTCAAACATCACTTCCTGAAAGCGAGGGTAACTTACATCCATGAGGTTCTCCTCCATGTAATGGGAGAAGTACTTCAGCACCGTCACTTGACTAATGAATTGTTCAGGGGCATCTGTGGCCGGGAAAACAGAGCATTGGCCAAGCTCTGCATAATAGTGAACTGTTCTAAAGAACAGGGAGAGAAGAAAAAGAAACAGGAAAAGTCAGTCACTGTTCTCAGATTTCTTTAGGGCAAAAGTGAAGAAATGACAGGGCTTCCTTAACTGAACACACTTACTTTTTGTCTGGAAGGAGGCTCATGTGAGCACCGTTGTTGAAAAGGACTCCTACGGTGTGGTCTGAGAGCTGGTACCCAAAGCCGTATTTGTTAGAGTAGTCGACCCATTTGGTGACCCACTGAAAGGACGTGCTCAGCTGCTCTTTGGGGATGCAGTCCGCTTCTGGCATGTTTTCTAGACATCCTCGAAGGACTCTTGCCACCGTGTCTGCCACACTGCCCATGGTACTGTCCTCAAGGCCTAAAAAGTCAGAGGAAGTTATACAATAATTAACAACAAGACCTCAGGCAATGGCAGGTGCTAGGTCTCCCTCCACTAATTCTAAGGATGGAGAACTCAAATTTGCTCCAATCCTCTACATTGCTTCTTCTATGTTAAATCAGGCCAAAAACCAAGCTGACTTCAGCTGCTTAGTGTTGAACACTGGCATTTAGAGTGTCACTATTTAAACTGTGATTGACAACTTACATTCACTGCTACTGCTGCAGCTGCCAAGAGTTCCTCTGACTATCATCCGAATAGCATCTCCAATCTGCTGCTTGTTTTCCACTGCGGGTGTTCCAGATCTGGCAACTGTAGTGGTAGGTGGCTGGAGTTCCTAGAAGAAAGAAGAGCCAGATGATAGTCAAGCATTTAAAATTCATCTCAAGTTGAGAATTCTAGTTTAAGATGAGATTATAGCAATGACTAGGAAAGCTTATCAAAAAGCAATGGACACAAGCCAAGTAAAAGATATTTCTGTTAACTCAACTGCATGCATTGTTAAACTAAAAGATAAAATCTTTCCTTTTAAAGGGTCCGGGGGAAAAAAACCTTTAAGTAAATATATCATGGTCCAAGTGATAATTAACAAAGAATGGAAATGACATAAAGTGTTTATAACTACTTTATTCTTCTCTAGCATACCTCATCTGTCCTGTGTTTGCTGGGTTGCTGAGTTATCGAAGTCTTTTTCAAATCATGCCTAAGCTTGTAAATTTCTTCATCTTCTTTAGATACTTTATCTGTAAATCAAGAAAAAGGATTATGAGCATTATTCTATCCAAACAAGATAGAAACAGAGCAAGCCATATTTCCTCCTTTTGCGTTAATAACCAGCTTAAGAGCATTCAAGGCAAAACCAACAGTTTTATCTTTGCCATGGTTGCAATTATCCAAGAAGCACACTTAAATGCATCTGAAACAAAACTATCAACTACAGTTTGCATTTTAGATTTATTATGCTACCAAAAGTTCAACAGTTTACTAACATACTGGCCAAATTATGTTAACATGAAAGCCTCTTTCAACTAACTTATCAACTTTATATATATAATATTGGATACAGAAAAAGTCTTATAACTTACTATGTGTGTCAATATATCTTGCTTTGTCTTTTTTGCCACCAAAAAGAGCAGCAGCTGCCTTCTTAAAGAAATTCTTAGCTGGGCTTGATAAGTGGAAATCTGGAACTGTGTGACAACAGCTAGAAGAGAGTCTATCTGGAGTGAAGCCCTGTGAAGCATAAAAAAAGTCTTTCAGTAACCTGCTGGGAAACTAGGATCAAGAGCATGTAATAAAAAGATGCAAAAGCAAAAAACAAAAAAAAAAAACAAAAAAACCGCACCAACCTGCAAAAAGAAATCATGTCGAATGATGTCATCCAAACTGGGACGATCTTCTGGATTTTTGGACAACATGCTAGCTATTAAGTGCTTAGCAGGAGCCAGCAATGAAGAGGGCATTGTATACCTTGCTTCTCTTATACACCTGTAAGTTTCTTTCAGATTTGTAGTTTCAAATGGAGGTCTTCCTAGTAACATTGTATACCTGTACACAATCAAACACCTCTTTAAGGAACCATCATAAAACAATTCTTTTCCAGTGCTAAAATCTACACCCAAGTTTGATTTTTTATTATTTTGGTGCATTTACTTACATTACACAGCCTAAGGCCCAAATGTCTGATTCACAGCCGTGTCCCTGTTTGTTGAGGACTTCAGGAGAAAGATAATTTGGGGTACCACATATCGTCCTGGAAGAACAAAATACAAAGATTTCACTAAGGACTCGCCTCTTGTTTAAACTTAGTTCTCTGGGTAAGCTATGCTAAATTTCTATTTGGAAACATCTGACTTTTTATTTTTGGCATATGAACAATTGACATTTCACCAAGTGACCTGGTAAATTTTTTTAATGCATGTACAATTGTTTTCGGCCACATGATGAAGTGCTTAAAGCCAACTGAGACCAGGTACAACAGGACATTTTTATACATTTCAGGCAAATATAAGATTTGTTTCATAATCAACTTATGGGCAGAAGATACTCTGCCTAGGCCACAGTGGCACTGTTTCCTTCAATTAACATTGTAGCAGTTTACACATTTTAATATCAACTAACCTTTGAAACATTAATTGGAAGATATAAACGGCATGTTTGATTTGCACAAAACCCTAGTTAAGATGTATCCTTCTGACTCTTACCTTCTCCTGTGTTCCAAGGGTTCCAGCCTGGCTGCCAAACCAAAGTCCCCAACTTTTAGTTCCATGGCTTCATTAATAAAAAAGTTCCCTGGATGACCAAAAAAAAAAAGAGAGAAAGAGAGTCTGAATTCTCTTGAAAAAATATTCTAACCAAGTACACACACATCCATCCACTGGAGAGGCAGGCAGCCAGCTGCTTAATAGGACAGCCATCATTCAGAAGCAACACTGCATTGGCTAGATTCCAACTAAGAACATTAACCATGTAAGAAAAGGGAGAGGGCACACACCTCTCTAACACAAAAGTCAGGGTTAGAGGTGAAAGGCTCACCTAGTTTGAGATCTCTATGCAAGATTTCTTGTTCGTGAAGGTACTTTAGTCCAGACACAATCTGCCTGAGGTAATATCGGACTTCTGGCTCTGTCAACACCTTCCTTGCTTTCAAGATATGAGCCATGGACTGGGAGGAGGAGAAGGAAAAAAGAGAATCTGTCAAACAAAGTTGCCAAAATCAGTAGTTTCCTTATGCAGGATGAGCGACGAAAGGTAATACTACCATATTATAATTATGTCCACAATCAGATTCCCAGATAAAGTGCAATTTGAATGCCAGGTCAGTATGCGGGAAGAACACGCACTCTGATGAGTGAAGACTTACCCTTCTACTGCAATATTCCAAAAGAATGTAAATGTTTTCTTTGTCCTCGAAGTAGTGGTAAAACTGCACGACGTGCTTATGATGGAGAATTCTGTGAAGCTCTATTTCTTTGTCAATCTAAAAGGAAAAGCAAGATCAGTCTTATTAGTAGCCTCCTTCACCTCTGCAAAGCCAGCTGCTTACACATGCAGAAGACATGTTCCTAACAGGGAAGGGCCATCTCTGCACACAAAGAAAATATTTTACTCAACAGTCATACACACCTTTTCCCTTTGATGAGGTTTGGCTACTCTGCTGTGAGGAATAATTTTTGCAGCGTAGACTTTGTTGTTTGTCAAATCTGTCATCTCGTAGCATTTTGCAAAGCCACCCTGAAAGGAAACAAAGCCGAAAGGGAATTGAGTATGGCAGGAACATGGACGGCAAATTTTTTTAAATTAAATAAATGAGAAAGAAAAACAAAAATATGAGGAGAAAGGGCAGACAGAGGGACGCGGTCTACTTTTTCTAAAAGCTCCTTCACGAAAGGAAATCACTCCTAACAACAGTTAAGTTAAAACGGTGCCCCTTCTCCTGTTACAAAGAGGAGCTTTACGGAGCGGGGCTGGGGGTCGGGGAGATGAAATAGGGTCTGAAGAGACGTGTCAAGAAAATTCTCTGGGGTGGGGGTGGAGGGGTATCTGGAGCGCTAGGTCTGGTATAGCAAACCCTCGCTTCTGGCCTCAAGATCAATGTCTCTGGGCTCGTGGAGGAGGCAGACAGAGCCGCGGTCAAGGATGGAGAACGCGACCCCCGCGCTGTCAGCGCACAAAAGCCAGTGGAGGGCAGGTGAGCAGCCCGCGCCGCGCCGGGATCCAGCCACTAAGACCTCGAGAAGCGGCGGGGGAGCGGGGACTCCGGGCCCAGCCCGGCCCGGGGGGGGCGGGTGGGGGAAACGCCCGGGCAGACCTCCCCCTCCCGCCTGGCAGCCGGGCGCCCGCCGCTCATCACCTTTCCCAGCACTTTGCCGCGGCAGTAGCGCTTCCCCGTTGTGGGGTCGACGATAATCCGCGAGATCTCGGCCCCCGAGTGCGAGTGGTGGTGGTGATGGTGCGGGGCCGCCGGCTGCACCTGCGCCGGGGGCTGCGGCGCCTGCGGCTCCTCGGGGGGCGGCTGCGGCCGCTTCTTCTTCGAGTCCCCGCCGCAAGCCTTGCCCAGCGCCTGCTCGCACATCTTGGTGCTGGCGGCCGGCTGGTAGGTGATAGTCCGTAAGAGCTCCATGGTCACCTCGTCGCCTGACACTGCCGGCTACCACCTCCGAGGCGCAGACACACGACCGAGCCGGCCTCTACCCTCGAGCTCCCCCCCCGCCGCCGCTGCCAACCTCCCGCTCCCGACGCCTCGGTCCACTTGTGCGAGTGCGAACGCCCAGCGAAGTCTTATATATGGGCTGAGAGGGGGCGGAGAATCGAAACAGAACGCAACGTCACGGGTGACGCCCCGCCCACCGGCCTCCAGAGTGCGCGGGGCCAGGCGAGAGGTCGCTAAGGGCCGTGGGTTTCAGATCGCGAGCGGGTTGAGGAAAGCGGGCGGCCTGGCCGCGGGGGAGCATTCCCCGGGATGAGGAGGCGGACACAGGCGTCCGGCCGTCCTCGTGACCAGCACCCCATTCTTGGAATGTTCCGAACTTCTAGGTTTGAAGTAGAAACCCGGGGGCCGACGCCTCGGCCCCGCCCCGTGGCCCGCGGCGCTGCGGTCATCGCAGGTTCCCTCCCTCTCAAAGCCCTTGCTGACCGCCCCGCAACCTGACGCCTCCGAAGTCATGGGGTGACTGTGGCCAGAGTCCACTACACAGGCACGTGAGGCTTCCCCCGGGCCACCTGGGAGTCCGGGCGGCCGCAGACCCCGCGCTTTTACCCTACCAGTTCCTGTCTAGAGGGTTCCTCCGGGGAGGCTGTGCACCTTGAAAGGCAGGGATTCCCGGAGCAGTCTTCTGAGCTCCCCGCTGCTTCTGCTCAGACAGACTTCGGCTCAGGCCGGTAGGCTGACCATGGCCAAGCCCCACTTAGTGCCCATCACCCTAGATCAAGCCTTTATCCTAAGTCAGACTCTTAACCTTGGAGAGGGAGGCAGTTGCCTGGGAAAGGCTTCGCCTTCAGGATGTCCGAAGACTGGGAGCAAGAGCGCCATCTCGTGGAATGTTCCAGAAGCACAGTTAGCCGTTGGAGTGGGCCGCGCGGTATGGGCTTTCTTTGACAATAAGTGGTGTGATGGTGCTCCTAGTGCTGATTATGGTTTTACAATGGAAATCATCTATCTCTTCTTCTGAAGGGGTTATGCAGACTGCGTCGTTTAAATGGCTCATTAAGCCACGAGGCTGCTCTGGTGCTGAGAGAGGCAGTCCTAGGCCTTCCAAATGGAGGGAATTGGAGCATGAGGGAGGAACATAGCCTAGTGAATTAAAACATGGCTTAGTTTCCTGTTTCCAGATTTTACAGTTTAGATTTGCTAACCTAGGAACACCATTGTTTCTTGCTCTAATGACAATAGTATTTTTATGTGCAGGACACCATATCTAGTGTTTTCAAATGCCTTATTAATTTTGCATCTGTTCTAAGTAGAAAATACTGTTATTTCCATTTACAGATGAGGAATCTGGGGTTTAAAGCATTTAAGTAACATCTTATATAGTCTCTCTGTATAAATATTTAGTAGATCATCCAAGTTATGTTAATGAGCAGTAGGCAAATTTTTAAATCTAAGTTAAGATATAGTTCACAATATTTTGATACTAATTTCCAGTTCTATATAGAATATCAGGTTAATAACCCCCTGGAAAGTATTTAGAAAAGGGTTGGCTCAAATCCAGATACCATCAAGGAGTATTCTTGCCTGGGAAATCGTGTGGATAGAGGAACCTGCTGAGCTATATAATTCACGGGGTCGCAAGAGAGTCAGGACTTAGCAACTACAACAGCAACAACAATGTGTGTTATCAGTGACTTAAGTATGCACGGTTTCAAAGACTCTGTCTCAAGTACTTTCCACATAATGTAGAAAGGAGTGTCACTGGCATTATGAAGTAGAAAGAGAAAGTCTTCTATGACTCTTCCTTTTTGATTCTGTAAACAGGGCAAGCCCAGGCATGTTTCTTATAAAGTAAAAGTGACCTTTACCCCAAAATTGTCGGGGCTGGAATAAGGGGTGGGCCTAGAGATAGACAGGAAGTCTTATGTAATCTTCCTCTTTAAAGTTAAACCTACGGGTGACCTTTGCCCCCCCAGATTTAGGCAGAGTTGTTTACTAGCCTGTAGTAGGCATGCTGGTTTAGAAATTACTACCTAAATTTCCAGAGCTAATTTTACACATTGTGTCTGTTTTATCTGCTGATAATGAACTTTTAAATCTAATTTGTTTATGACTTTCTGTGATAAAAGGGCTGTGAAGAGTAGTCATGACATTTTTATTATTATTTCCATTCTTTGATTATCATGTATCATTGTATATCTCTTTACCAAATTTACTTAAGCATTTGATATACTGTTGAACATGCCATAGGAAATCCAGGTCTATCCTCCAAAACGTTTGAGCACTTAATAAAATACTAACATGTATATGTGTTATTGAGTCTTCTGTCCAATTATGAAAAATCTGATTTTTTTTTTTTGGTTTCTAGTGCCATCATGTGGACAGAACTAAAATTGTTATTAGTAGAGCAAAAAAGGAAATAAATGTACTTTCAAATGGAGATAAATCTTTAATTAAAAGATATTTCCCTGTAGTTCTCTAGATTTAACATAAAGCAGTATCCTAATATTATTTTTAGTGAAACTTCACACATTGATTGCAAATTTTATATGAAACTATAAGTGACCAAAAAGAGCAAAGTAACTTTACAGAAAAATTAGGAGAAGGAAGGTCTTTCCTCTACCAGTCATCTAGACTGCAAGTTATTAAGTTGCTCTATTAAGCTAGAGCAATGAAGAAAGTTTGGTCCTCTCATAGGGATAGACTAACCAGTGAAATAGTTAAAAGAGCCTAGAAATAAAGGCACATGTATACAGAATTGTATATGAGCCTAGAAGTAGATGCACATGTATATAGAATTGTGGTATATGAGCCTAGAAGTAGATGCACGTGTATGGCGAGTTGTGGTATATGAGCCTAGAAATAGACGCGCATGTATGGAGAATTGTGGTATATGGCAGAGGAAGCATGTTAGGTTAGTGAGGAAAGGAGACTATCCAATAAATAGAAGTAGAAAATTGACTTTTCCATATTTTTTAAAAAAATAAAGTCTATATCTCACACTGGATTAGTTTTCTAGGGCTGCCTTGACAGAATACCACAGTCTGAATGCTCATGTAAATTACAGAAATTTACTTTCTCTCTCTCTGGAGGCTAGAAGTCCAGGATCAAGGTATTCCTCCTGGGGCCTCTCTCTTTGACTTGCAGTTGGCTGCCTTATCTTCTTGTCTTCGTGTGATCACTCCTTTATGAGCGAGCATCCCTGGTGTCCCCTTGTAAGTCCAAATTTCCTGTTACAAGGATAGCAGTTAGACCAGATTGTGCTGTGCTGTGCTTACTCGCTCCGTCATGTCTAACTCTTTGTGACCCCATGGACTGTAGCCCACCAGGCTCCTCTGTCCCGGGGGATTCTCCAGGCAAGAATACTGGAGTTGATTGCCATGCCCTCCTCCAGGGGATCTTCCCAACTCAGGGATGGAAGCCAGGTCTCCCTTACAGGTGAATTCTTTACCTTCTGAGCCATCAGAGAAGCCCAAGAATACTGGAGTGGGTAGTCTATCCCTTCTTCAGGGAAATTTAGGGCCCACCCAAATGGCATCATTTAACCTTAATCACCTTTTTAAGGCCCTATCTCTAAATACAATCACATTCTGAGGTACTGGGGGGCTAGGGATTTGATACTTGAATTTTGAGGGGAAACTATTTTTAGCCCATAACACACACAAGGAACAACTTAAGTCTACTTCAGATGGAATAAAGACTTAAAGATTAAGAACAAAACAAAATATCAGTAGGAAACAATAGGCAACCAATGTTCAGAGCATAGGGTGGGGAAAGTTTTTTTTAATTGAGAAAGAGTTGCAGAGTTGACATGTGATACCCTGGTGGCTCAGTGGTAAAAAATTCACCTGCTAATGCAGGAGACATGGGTTCAGTCCCTGGGTCGGATAGATCCCCTGGAGAAAGGAATGGTACCCACTCCAATATTCTTGCCTGGAGAATTCCATAGACAGGGGACCCTGGCAGGCTACAGTCCATGGGGTCTCAAAAGAGTCAGACATGACTTAGCAATTAAACAACAACAAACTATTAGTTTTACGTGTATAATGTTATGATCTGATATCTATATATAGGTATCAGTTCAGTTCAGTTCAGTCGCTCAGTCGTGTCCGACTCTTTGCAACCCCATGAATCACAGCACGCCAGGCCTCCCTGTCCATCACCAACTCCCGGAGTTTACCCAAACTCATGCCCATCGAGTCGGTGATGCCATCCAGCCATCTCATCCTCTGTCATCCCCTTCTCCTCCTGCCCCCAATCCCACCCAGCACCAGGGTCTTTTCTAGTGAGTCAAATCTTCGCATGCAGTGGCCAAAGTACTGGAGTTTCAGCTTCAACATCAGTCCTTCCAATGAACATCCAGGACTGATCTCCTCTAAGATGGACTGGTTGGATCTCCTTGCAGTCCAAGGGTCTCTCAAGAGTCTTCTCCAACACCACAATTCAAAAGCATCAATTCTTCAGTGCTCAGCTTTCTTCACAGTCCAACTCTTACATCCATACAATGACCACTGGAAAAACCATAGCCTTGACCAGACGGACCTTTGTTGGCAAAGTAATGTCTCTGCTTTTTAATATGCTATCTAGGTTGGTCATAACTTTCCTTCCAAGGAGTAAGAGTCTTTTAATTTCATGACTGCAGTCACCATCCTCAGTGATTTTAGGTAGATATTAATAGAGGCTTCCCAGTTGACTCAGTGGTAAAGAATCCACCTGCCAATGCAGGAGACACAGATTTGATCCCTGGGTCAGGAAGCTGCCCTGGGGGAAGAAATGACAACCAACTCCAGTATTCTTGCCTGGAAAATTCCACGGGCAGAGGAACTGGGTGGGCTACGGTCCCTGGGGTCGCAAAAGAGTTGGACACAACTGAGCAACTGAGCACACACACACATAGATATATATGGTGAAACAGCTGACACAATTTGTATCACCACACATAGTTACAATATTTTTTCCTTGTGTTGTTACTGAGTCCAAGATACTGAGGCTCTGATCAACACATGTGTGCTCAATCATTCAGTGAGCTCTGCTCAGTGCAATACAGGCCAACAAATCCAAGAGATGAGGTGTTCAGGCAAAGAATACAACTTTATTCGGAGAGCTGGCTAACTGAGAAGATGGCAGACTAATGTCTCGAAATAGCCATCTTGTTGGGGTCTGGATGGTTCTGTTATAGAACCAGAGAGAGAAGCTGTGAGGAACTAAAGTCAAAAGGCAAAGAGGGAGAGGAAATGAAAAAGTTAAAAGGGGCGTCAGTCTTGGAAAACATCTCCAGAAATGGCCAGCATCAGGGAAAAGAAAGAAGTGTTAGTCACGCAGTCATGTCCAACTCTTTGTGACACCCTGGACTATGGACCCCAGAGACTGTACCCCTCCAGGATCCTCTGTCCATGGAATTCTCCAGGCAAGAAGACTGGAGTGCATAGCTATTCCCTTCTCCAAGGGATCTTCCTGACCTAGGGATCACACCCAGGTCTTCTGCACTGTGGGCAGATTCTTTATCCTCTGAGTCA